AAGAGAAAACCAAAAGATTTTGGCAACAAACCCCTCATTCCTGTTTCATCAGCCTTGGAAAACGCCTGAGCCTGGGGATCCACTGATTTTATGACAACTGGGAGACTGAAAATTTGGCAATTAAGGGGAGACAGTGTTTAGCAAGACTGGCACAAAGTCCAGCTTTGTGTTCCTTATGCAAGCAGCTCTTCCTGCTGCACATGGAGCTCAAAAGGCAGCTTCATTTGGAAGTGTTAAAATGTTTTTTTAGGAATGTTTGAGGCCTTTTTCAGTATTTTTACCTGGGGCGTAGCCAGGGCTGCTGGTTGGATACATGTTGGGATTGTAGGCTGGGGCAGCAGTGGGATAGCCTGTTGGATAACCTGAAAGGAGAGAAAAACAAGAATTAGGATTTTATCAGTCAGTCAAGCAAGGATGGTACCCCTGAAAAGCAATAAACACCCTGTGTGAGCACAGAGGCCACCTGGGGAAAACACAGGTGGATTCTGTGAGAATAGGAAGGACCATGAATGTGCTCCACATCAACATTTCACCTTCATTCCTGTAGGAAACAAGGATCAGAATGAAGAATGCAGGTGTGCTCACTGTGTGCTCACTTTGGAGAAAACTGCTGGGAAAATCCCTACTCTGAATGTATGAAATTCCATACTCATGGAATTCAGGTACAAAACCCCACTGGCACAGCAATCCTGGAAAGGTTTTCCTGTGCTGCTTGGCAGCACTTTGGAGAGCTCAGCACTTGCATTAAGCAGAGTTTCTTGCTGAAGGGGAAGGCAGGGATCCTGCAGGAAAATATGCCAGCCTTGTATTCACCCATGGCTGCACAAGTGCCATTCCCAGGAGGGAATACCTGCCAGGCCACCTGGAAGGAACACACTCGGACCCTTTGGAGCCATGCAGGGTTTAATGAGCACTTTGGGGAAGGTTGCAGAGCATCCTCAGCTTGCATCAGCCTCACTCAGAGAGGTCAGAGGGAGTTCAGGGAAATTATGTGATCGAAGTGGGAGGCTGGAAATAATGGCACACCCCAGAGCCTGTGTGCATCCACACAGTGCAGGTGTCCAGCATCCAACTTCATTGGAAATTCCTGTCCTTTGTGGAGGCCACAGACACAAGCTCTGCACCTCAGTCTGCTCCTTTTCCACAGAATCACACAATGTCCTGACCTGGAAGGGACCCACAGGATCATCCAGCCAGACACCCCAACAATCCCACTCTGGGCACCCCTGGCAGTGCTGTCCAAACACTCCTGGAGCTCTGTGGGGCTGTGCCCATTCCCTGGGGAGCCTGGGCAGTGCCCAGCACCCTCTAACATCCAACATAAACCTCCCTGGCACAGCTCCAGCCCTTCCCTGGGGTCCTGTCACCAGTCACCATTTTGCTTTTCATTACCTTCAATTCCTTACAAGTTTTCCCTATGGTAAAGAGTAACACTCGAGTAACTCCATCCTTCTTAGGTGCCACTGAGTGCATCCCCCTCAGAGTGAACAGGACATGTTAATCCTGCTTTGCTGGAGGACAGTTTGGCTATTCTGTCACCACCCAGTTTATCTGTGTGTCCCCTTGGCCATCATCCCAGAGCAGAGCCAATGGAATGACCCTTGGAGAGGGTTTCCATGCCAAGCCCTACTGATCCTGGCTGTTGGCTGCCAGCAAAGACTGGAAGGAGGTAATTACCAGTGGATTTACACCCATCTTTTAAAATATTTTATTTTATTAAATAAAAGCAAGCATGAGTTGGTACTTTCCTCTTCTGAGCACCAAAAGAGCCACAGCACAGTCCCCCCCCTCCCATGCCCCAAATCCCACTGCTCTCAAACCCTGGCACCACTGACTTCTGTGGCAAAATGTTGAGGTTCACTCGAATAAATCTAATTCAACAATCATGACCACTGTACTGGAATAAATGACTGGATGTTCTACCCTCTCATTTTCATCAGTGATATATTTGGCTTCTAAATCAGGTTAATTAAAAATTGCTGTAGTTAATGTTGGATAAGCAGCAGTTTAACAGATTTTTTTTTTTTTTTTAGGCTACACAGAACCATGTTGTCATATCCAGGAATATCTAAAGCCTTTCAGCAATCAAGAAGCTCCTTAGAAAGTTAGTTGCAGATGCAGTGATTGCAAGCAGAGCATTAATGGTGAGGATCTTAAATCAGAAATATCCCTTCCCTCCAGTTCATTAGAAGATAACCAGGTCTTTTCCAGGACATTCATTGCTCCACATTCTTCCCCTTTCCTCCTGACAATCTGGCCAGGGGGGCTAAACCAGCTCCAGCTCACTTCTTGAAGTGTATTTTTCCTAAAATTCTCCCACTTGTGTTTCTCCATGAGGTTTTAACATTCTTGGCACGTGCTTTAGTGGAATCCCAGACTGGCTGGGGCTAGAAGGGACCTCAAAGATCACCCTAATTCCAGGGCCATGGGCACAGAGGATGATGGCTGTGTGTGCCATGGTGTCAGGAAGTCCCTTGCTCATTTGTAAAAGTCTCTTGGAACTCCAAGAGGTTTTTCTGAGCTTTGCTGCTGGAAAATCCCCCCAAATAAGCCCTGAATCCCACAGACTGCTGCAGTCATTAGTTACAATCCTTAATTAACAGTCCTTAGTCACCAGCCATGACAAACACAGTCCAGTGGGGTCACACATGTTTCACCTGTGCCCTCTGAGGTGCCACCAGCACTCACCCACTGTCAAATCCAGGAAAAAAACCTCCTTTACTCAGACCAAAATTTGCAACATTTGGGTTATATGTTAAAAAAAAACAACAACCTGGAATAAGTCAAACCAGAGGAAAAGTGTGGCTTTGGGAAGATTTTCCATCCAGACAAATATTGAAGGATTTATTTCAGGCAGATGGAGGCAACTGTGTATTTATAGAATCACAGAATTGTTTCACTTGGAAAAAACCTTCAGGACCATCAGGTCCAACTGCACCCCAGCACTGCCAAGGCCACCACTAACCCATGTCCCTAAGTGCCACATCCACACCTAATTTAAAACCCTCCAGGGCTGGGGACTTGGTTGGTCTTCCTTGCTTTCTTTGGGGTTTAGTTTCTGCTTGGCAGGACTCTTCCTTACTGTGATATATTTTGTTTTTCTGAAGGTGAGTTATGGCTGGACTTGCATTCATTTCGGCTCAAATAAATACGATTTCTATCAAGGAAGCTTTAATAGCTTTGGATGCAAAAAGAAGCCCTGCTCTGCACTGTCTTCCACTCTGATCTCATAAACTTTGATAAGTGCTGACCTCCAGCAAGAAAACTTGTCCTTTCTATTTTAAGGCAAAGCAGAAATGGGAAAGGTACAGGAAAATTAATGTCGTTTGCTCCTTTTTTTGGACATAGTGAAAAATAAGAAAGTAGCAGAATCTGGGGCAATTTGTGCCAGAAGAAACATGCCTGGAAATTCCCAGCACTCAAAATCCAGCAGGTTTAAAAATACATGAAACATTTTTTTTATTTAGCAGGGCCTGTTGTGATTGGACAAAGGAAAGGTTTCAGACTGAAGGAGGTTTGATTTAGATTGGATATAAGGAAGATATTTCTTACAGTGAGGGTGATAAAACATTGGCACAGGGTGCCCAGAGAAGCTGTGGCTGCCCCTGGATCCCAGGAAGTGCCCATGGCCAGGCTGGACAGGGCTTGGAGCAGCCTGGGATAGTGGAAGGTGCCCATGGCAGGAGTGGGATGGGATGACCTTTAAAAGGTCTCTTCTGACTCAAAACTATTTCATAGTCCTATAATTTTTTATATCTTATTGGTTTTGAGCCTTTAGGATTTGTTTGTCAGTTCTTCTGGCATCCTGCTCTGATTGTCCCCCTGGAAAACCTAAGAGACCTCCTGTGAATTCTTGTTCCTGCTGCTGACACTGCTCCCTTCCTGCCATGTCTGTCCTGCCTCGTCACCTTGAATGAAAAATAACAGCAAGAGACTCAAACCCACCTGACATGCAAATGTCAGGAACAGAAAGAAAATATCCTTTACTTTCTATGGATCTGCACATGACAGGACTCTGCTGGGCTTGAGGCTTTGCAGTGGTGCAGAAGGAAAGAAAATGAGATGGAAAATATTGAACAAAATTTATTAGATTCCTCACAGAAGAAATCCAAAGTTGTTTTGTGGCTTATTTTAATTTAATATCATCTCCACAATCAATAGGAGTAAGAAAGGCAGTGTTCATTTAATCTCCTCCCCAAGGAAAACACACAGCACTCCAGCTCTGGGAAGCAATGGCTGAGCTGCATTAAAAATTACCACACAATAACTGTGCAAAGCAAAAAGCTGCATTCAAAGAGGAATTAAAAGCCAACTTTAATTTTTCATGTATTGAAATCATCTAAATAACACTCCAAAAACGACAATACACAACTGCTAAGGCTCTGAAGGTTCTCTTGAAATTCTTGAAAGAGAATTTGCTTCTCCTTGGCTACAGGACCCATGCTTTGGTTCATGTTTCAGCCTCCCACCCACTGGGAGTTGTCACTTACAACACTGAATTCCAGAATATGCCATTTCACTTTTTCAAGAATAGTTTCATTGACCATTATCTGATCAAGGCCTTAATTGCTACAAGCAGCTGACATTAATTTACAAGACAAAATATTCTCCTTCATTCTTTTTCTTCGTGAGTCTCAAGCAGTGCAGACTCCTGAAAGTGGCTGTGCCACAAGGATTTTTAGAGGGACAGATGATAAAGTCCCTTATCTAAGGGCAGGACAAAGCACTGTAAAACCACACTTCAGCTCCTTGAACTGCCAAGGACTCCAGCTCCACACTTGCTGCAATTGAGAGCTCATTAAACACCAGCACCCCCTGGGAGGAAAAGCCAGGCAGCCACACAAACCTGTCCCTCTGGTGGCATTCACTGCTCCCAAATGAGTAAATGTTGGATTCCAGAAACCTGGGCTTTTTGAGTTTTCTGTGCACTGAGCCCCTGGAGAACACTGCTTTTGACCTGAGGCCTTGGAGAAGGCTTCTAAATCAAAGTGATTTAGTTCAAATCACGGGTGTGTAGTTAAATAGAAGTGTGTGCTTTCACGTGGTAAAGGGTTTTAAATTTGAGGTTTTTATACTACAGTAATAGGTATGGGACAAGATGGAGGATTTTGGGTGGTGTCTCTTTCCATGCTCATCTTCCTTCTTCTTCATAGGTTTCAGGCAGTAGTTTCTGGTTGAACACAGTGTCACACTGAAGGTCACAGGAAGTTAGTTATTAGGTCAAAAGTATAAATAATATAGGTGTTAATTCTCTATTAGACTGCTTAACTTTAAAAGACCTTGTAGCAGCTGGATCTTGCTCCATTTTGCTTGTTTCTAGCAGGTGGCTAGAAATGCTGCTGAACTTTCTGTACTTCTTAAT